AACCAGTCATGATATTTTACCTCCTTTACCTTGCCGGTCTGAAGCAGCGTATCGACTTCTTGGTTTATAATGGCATTCCTTTCTTTGGCGAAGCGTCTTCTTCTCTGTCTGACGAGTTTTTGTGATGGGCCGACGTTTAACCTGTGAGTTATGATATTAGGATCAATACCTGTCATGTCGTCGTGGCTCCATGCAAACACGTCTTTGTGTTCTTTGAGGAAGTTTATCAGTTCGTCTCTGAGATGTGTTGGTATGTCTTTCCCGATGCGGACGACCCTTTCTGGATATTCGGGGTCGATGGCGACTTCTTGTGTTTTGGCGTCATCTTCCACCAGAGCAAGGCCACCCTTTAATTGCTATGCGGTCTTGGAAGTAGTCTGACCTGCAGTTGGCCTCATTGTTGTTTGGTAGCAGGACTTGGCTGACTTCTGATCTCCCCTGATGCTTTGCACTCCCCATGGCATTGGGAACTTGACTACTTGATGATAAGTTGACGGAATTGCTCCCATTTGATGCAGCCATGGAGTTCCTAAGATCATGTTATAGGCTGGCAGGCTTTCGACCACATCGAACTTGACTTGCACATTTAAACCATGGGCATATACAGGTAAAGATATATTACCTAGAGTTCGGCTTGGCTCCCCGTTGAATCCGACTAGGCTTGACCCGGATCCCGTCACGTCCTCCTCCTTGACTCCCACTTCTCTCAACATTTTCATGGTGGTAATATTTGTGGTGCTTCCATTGTCTATGAGGACTCGTTTGACTTCACAATTCGCCACTCTCAGGGAGATGACCAACGTATCGTGATGAGATTGTGCTGGGTCAGAAATATTTGTCTCGTCAAAGGTGATTGACGCATTTCTCCATTCTTCTTGACGTTTCTCGATCCTGTAGACCTGCACAACTTGTCTCGGGAATAATCCTGAGCGTGTCTCTTTGCTGCAGAATACGTTAGCCCACATAAATCAGATCCACCATTAATAAGGTTGATTACCTTACATGGGGCAGAAGGTGAAGGGGGTTGAGACTCATTTGGTGACATTTTATCATTCCGTCCTAGAAGCGATTTTGCGCGTTCACACATGATTTCCGTCAGATAGCCATTTTTTAGCAGATATGCCACCTCCTTTCTCAATGCGACACAGTCTTCCGTGTTGTGCCCGATGTCGTTGTGGAAATCACAGCGCTTATTTGGGTCACGACGGCCTGCTGGTTTGTCAGTCTTTCGAGGCCATCTGACCTTCTCTCCCAGCTTCTCCAAAGAATGAATGAGTCCCGGAGTAGTAACATTAAAGCAGTAGTCAGTGATGGATGGGGGTAGATCTGGGTCATCAAGCCAGCTGGCTATTGACGATACCGGCCTTTCTTCAATTCTGGCATAGGGTTTCCCGGTTCTGTAATCATGCTTTCTGGATGTGCCTGATTTGCGCTGCCCTCCGTCATATGCATCCTACCGATGCCATGTCTGCTGGTCTTCCTCAAGCCTGATGAAGGCCAAAGTTTTGGCCTAGACATCCTCGAAGGTCCTGCATGGGTACTTCGTCAACTCCCGATATAATTCTGAGTCGTCAGCTAAGCCTCTCCGAAATGCCTCAATTGCTGTCGGAATGTCGCACCGTGGAATGGAAACCTTTTCTTTGTTAAAACGGTGTAGATAGTCTCGTAGCGATTCGCCTCGTCGTTGTATGACTCTATAGAGATCGCTAGTCTGCTTCTCAAGTACTCGACTGCTCGCGAACTGATGGTTGAACGAATCGACCAGCTCTGCAAATGACCTGATGCCCTCGTTAGGTAAATTGACAAACCATTTGAGGGATGGACCCGACAGCGTTGCTCCAAAACCTCGGCACATGCATGCTTCCCTTTGATCCGGTCGGAGCGATACGGCGAGCATCCGCTGTTTGTATTGAGCGACGTGCTCCACCTGATCAGATGTGCCGTCGAACATTTTCATGGACGGAGCTGCGAACTTGCGGGGTATTTCGACATCCGTGATCTGTCTGCTGAAGGGCGAATCCGCATAACACGTCTGTGAGGCTCGATCTAAAGGAAGGGGTACTCCGGGCAGTCCGTTGATTTTGTCCTGCATCTGCCGGAGCTGGTCCATAATCATCGATATAGGGTTGACCAGACCTGACTGAGTTAATTCCGGTGTCGAAAACGTTGGTCCTGCCATTTGGGTCACTTCGGGACGGGTTGGTGACAGAATGACTATGATCTCTGGATGTCGCTCTCCATAGCTCTGACCTGTTGAAGTGACTGGTCCACGTTGTCGTTGTGTCTGAAATTCGGGTGGCAATTCGTCAAACATATTCCATCCCCTACTCAGCATGAGACTGGACGGACCGGGGTCACCACAAGTTCTGCTTCTGTAGTGAGAGATGAATGGCTCCGTCGGGGCTGATGCGTCCGATGTCATTGGTAGGCTTTGAGTGGTTGTCTTCAAACCTGTCCTCCTTGATCCGGGACGTAAGGATTCCGGGAAAAAACAAGTCGGAATGCTGGTGATGGGGGTCGTTTCAGGGATGAGTGATGTGTATGGTATCACTTGAGAAATGATGGTGGGTTGTGACTCCCCGGCGGGTGAGAGGCCCAATGTGAGAGATATGGGTTCGGTGGTGATAATGGGTGCATCCGTCGCCGCCGGAGTGGATTCCAAATCAAGCCTCGTAACCACGGGCATGAGGTCGTTTCTTCGGCTACCCCTGGAATTGGATGCGATCGAAACTGCCGACTGAACTTGGGATCGAAGCGGGTCATTTTCTCGCTGGAGATGTGCCATCCTCTCCGTCAATTCCCGATGAAATTCTGCTCTAACTACCTCCATTTGAGCGTGGAGTTCCTCTAGCAAAGGGTTGTTTCCGGCCATGCTTGATGATCTTTCTCTTGCACGATGCCCCACGGTGGGCGCCAAATTGTTTAAGCAATAATTTGATAGGCTAAAACTAATTAAAAAAGAAAATTATATGAAGAATGGGTCTCGTACAAGAGCAATGAAGGAGATGACAAATGGGTGAATAAAAGTGAAAGCTTGTGTATTATTCGAATGTCAGCTGCCCTGATTACAATGAGGGATATCCTATTTATAGGAAGGGTAATTAATGCTCTCATGATGGCTTTGTACGTTACTGATGGGTTGGTCACACTTTATGACGATTTGAAATCTGTCATAAAGGCCGTTCAATTACAATCAATATCTTCATCAACCATATTAAAGAGGCTAATAATACATAAAGACGTTACAATATTTGTCATTAGGCCTTGCAAATGCTCCACTAGCTCGAGTTGTCCCTTACAAACGGTTTGACTCGACGTTTCCGACCCGACGGTTTCACAACTTGTCATTAATGTTGGTCAGCTCAAAATAAGTAACCTCCTGCCTTAATATCGTTATTAACCATAATAATAAACACAAATCCGTTTCAACAATCATCATTAAGCCTCATTAACTTCTCTGATCAACCCTCTTTAATGCAACATAAACCACCAAATTCTTACTCTAACAACCACTTTAATTTGGAAGAACAATTAGGTACGGAGGGAGTGCCATATTTGGTAACATTTGTGTGACTCTAGTTCATTTTTACTTTATACTAACTTTATCAACAACATAATTCCGCTTTTCTAAAAAATCACACCCTTCTCTTTTGTCTTAATATTAGCGGGACGGAGGTAGTATATGATTACATAAAGATGAGTTTATTTCGAGAACTTCAAGAAGATCTCTAAAAAAGTGAGATTATTATTATTATCAATCAATCAATATATATATAAGAGGAACTTTTTAATAGTATACAAAACGCCACATAATCCTATCATGTCATCCATCATATATAACAATTGTTTAGTTATTTTTATACTCCGTACCTTTTATTTTTATTGGATTCTATTTTTGATTGCATATTGATATGGAAACAAATGACTCTAGATTCTGTCACTTTTGAAATAGATCGATTCCCAATCTAAGTTAGGAAATCTTTATATGTTTACAAATTCCTAATTTTGTATACTCTTAAGATGTTTTAAATTAGATCGATTTCAGTCTCAGACTAAATCAGATCGGATCAAACTTTAATAATAATTGGACACATAAAATGTAAAACATAAATCTACCAGATCATATAACTTTAGACCAAATCAAACCCGAAAATTTTAATTCATCTAAAAACGTCATTATCAATGACGTTTTCAATGTGATGAAATAATAAGTAAAATGTAAAATCTTACTATTAAAAGTATGTACTTCATATTTCATACCAAGTTGAATGAGGAATATTAAAAAATATATTTTGAGGCGCATAATAAAGTAAATTAGAGGACATGAAAAAAATTAAGAAGCTTCTCTATGAATTCTTTAAAATCGAGTTCATAACAATTATGCTTAGTAGAGAATTATGTAGAAGACCATTTATACTATTTTTCATATAATTTTTATTTATTTAACAAATGGATTTTTTTTTCATGATTCAGGATATCCACATATTCAACCTATTCAGCTAGAATTTAATTAATTTCAGCAAAATAAACCGATTGCATTATATCAAACAGACTCTGTATTTAGACTGAGTTTATTTTGCTTTTGCGTCACATTATATATGATTCCGAAAATCAATCAAATTTTAAAATAGATAAATTATATAAGATGCACGGATTGAAACCTAGTTTTTTACTCCCTCCGTCCCTTAAAAGTTTGTTATATTTCCTTTTTGGGATGTCCCAAAAATTTTGTCACTTTTCCTTTTAATCAATATTTTGTGGTTTCTATTATTCCTTTCTCCTCTGCACAAACCTCAACCACACAATTTTTACTTTATTATTCTCCGTACCGATTAACTTTGACAAAGTTTCCGGGATGAAGGTAGTAATAAAGAACAAATGAAACAAAGCATGAGATGGACCATAAAAAAACATTTAAGATCGGACGGCACTCAGGCACTCCGTATTAAGCAAAACATTTGACGGCATCTATCTACTGGCTAGTGGCTACTACCTATGGTGCGAGTGTGAACTGGAAACAGTTATACTAAGGGAGGGATAGTATAGTAAATAAAAAAGAAAAAAAAAGGAATGAGAGAATAGGGCAGTTCAGACACTTGGCTGCCGCTTGAGGTTGCACGTGATCCCGGGAAACGTTCAAACCAAGTTCCATATACCCCTCACTCCATCCACCTAAGGCTTTGGAACCCCTCAATCCAAAACCTGGAGTTCCCCCCTCCCTGTTTTTGATTTTCTTTTATCAAAGAACCAACACTGTCTTTCAGTTCTTGATTTTTCAAGACCCGTAGGATTTCTGCATTTCATCTTCAATTTCTGATACATATCTTCTGTTTAAATTTGAATTCAATCGGGAAAGACTTTATCTTCTCCCCCTTTTCTTTGCTTGGAAATTGATTATTGAGATTCAAGAATCTATCCTTGAATCTTGGCTCGAGTTTTGTATGGAATTCGTGGGGCCTGCGAATCAGCATTCAGTTGATCTTAGTTTCCGAGATGGGAATCCTGCGGTTCCACGCGTAATCAATGGGGTGCCGCCTATTAGGGTTGCAAGCATCAATCTCGTCCCCTTGCAGCCTCGCCGACTTCACCCCTCGGTGTTTGGACTCAACCCCGATATGTTCCTCAGAATGGAGATGGAAAGGTCTTCGTCTCTGTTTCAGGTTCGTTACGTTATTTTATATATGAACAATGGGTGTTTGTATTTTTGAATTTCCTCCCTGTTAGGGTTTTGTTTTGTTTTGTTTTGTTTTAGAATTTGCTTTTATGTCTTCAGATGATGATCAACGAGGGTTTGATCCCATCAGCAGAAGATGAAATGAGGAGGAGAAATGCTATTGCCAAGCTAAAGAAGGTTCTTGGGCATTATAATATGCCTACTTCATCTTTATTCTTCATCTGTTGTTAATGTTCTATAACCTGAATGAACCTTTTTATATATTTTTAATTAATTTATATCTCGCAGATAGTAATGGAATGGATTAAAAGGGTTGCTTACCGACACCAACTCCCTAAAAGATACATCACAAATGCTTCTGCTAGGGTATTGCCGTTTGGATCATATGGCCTTGGGGTAAGTTTTTTCTTTTGTATAGAAATGAAGTATTGTTGTTTGTATCAGATCTGTCATCATCCCTATAAGTTGGGGTCGGGCACAGTGAATTTATAATGCTAATTAATTGTATGGAAATGCTTAACACTCTAATTTCACGATAAAAGTGCAATTGCAATGGTTTATGCGGGCGCCCTTCCTTCTTAAGGAGGAATTGTTTTTATTTGTATTATGAGGTTTTGGATGTGTCTTTACTTTTGACTTCTGTCATTCTGTTTATCAGGTTCATAACTCAGAGTCAGATATTGATGCATTGTGTGTTGTCCCATGCTTTGCTAATATGGCGGTATAGGCCTTTCTCCTATTTATTTATCGCTCCATATTTATTTTCTGAAAGTCAGAATTTTTACTTGTGTACGTTGGTTGGTTGATTACTGTAGGAAGACTTTTTTGTGGTGTTGTTCAACATACTTTCTGGCAGACCCGAAATTACAGAAATCCATTGTGTCAAAGATGCAAAAGTCCCTTTAATGCGCTTTAAATTTGATGGGATCTCCATTGATCTCCCATATGCTCAACTTAAAGTAACATCCATCCCAGAGGTGATTCCCTTGTGCCCTTAACTTTTACAAACTTCTTTTTTCTATTTGATTAATCATAAATCTTACTGTCACAACTTATCTGTTATCCAGAATGTGGATTTGCTCAATCCATTTTTTATGAGGAATATTGATGAGAGGAGCTGGAGAAGTTTATCTGGAGTGCGTGCTAATATGAGTATCCTTTACGTTCTTCCAAATATTGAGGTACATTTGATTAAGCAAGCAAATATAATGCCTCTGATTCTCAGGACCTATAGTAATATACTAATATGTTCGATGTTCATAAATGATATGTTGCTTATTTTTTTTTATATCAATCTTGTTAGGATGAAAAAACCCATTGGAGAGTTACAAAATAATTTGTGATATCTTTTTTGGGGACTTTTCATAAGCAGAATCTGCTGTATATATTTAGAATTATTGATCTCTTATTTCTTGAAATGATGTTTATACAGGTATTCCAATCTCTGCTGCGTTGCATTAAATTATGGGCAAAAAGACGAGGGCTTTATGGAAATGTAAGTTTATTTCCACGTTTTATGTTTTATATGCTTACTTAGCCTTTTTTTTTGTTCAAAATAGGGGAAGGAGAAATTTATAAGAGACTTTAGTGTTTGAAAAGATGTTTTTAGTTGAATAGAAAGCAAAGAGAACTATTTCCTTAAAATATACTACATCCGTTCCATATTACTTGTCCCGGACGGTTTATGATTTTTTATTGCACATAAAGTTAATTCTTCCTTGCTAATACATAAATTAGTGTTTATAAATAAATTTACATGTTTAGGTAATACACTAAAAGTTTAACTAAATGGAAAGTTCTGAATTTGAATGTGGTATAAATTAAATACACAGATTTGCAACTTAAAAGAGCCGTCAAGAATAGTAACCAAGACAAATAATATAGGACGTATCCTGTAGGGCATATTTAAAAACATCATACTAGTATCTGATAGTATAACTTTTCTTGTAATTAAAGTAATCTATATGTATAGTGACTTACTAACCATTCTAATGTGGACCAATTTCAATAATAAAAAGGTGAAAATGAAATCAAGAAAAGTGCAACTCCTTTGCAATACTCCTAAATTGATGGGGGTGAGAAATGAGGGTTGGGATGAATATAGCTTTTCTCCCCTTACTTACAACCAAACAGGGGTTAAGGGTCACTGGTCTAATACTCTTTATGTATTCAGTTGCTTGGATTTTTCGGAGGCATTCATTTAGCAGTCCTTTCGACATTCATATGTCAAAAGTATCCAGCAGCAAAGCTTAGTTCCCTCGTCTCTATATTCTTCAAGACGTTTGCCTTTTGGCCTTGTCCAGTTCCAGTAGTTCTTCCAGACAGGCTAATGCGATCAATGTTCATTCCCAGAGAAAAACCTGGGTTTTGGCCCATCCAGTTGCCAGGCAGTGAATTCGATTACTGTCACTCTAACATCACCAGAAGCACTTTTCAGAAAATACGGGCAGAGTTTCTCAGGGGACATGCTTTGACTAAGGTCTGTTTGAATTCCTCATTCCTCTGTGCTATCTTATGAGAGGGTGCATTTGGTATAATAAATTAATAATTGTTTCATTGTTTGGATTAAATAGCTGAAACTTGGGGTGGTAATTTCTGTTCAGTTGGCCAAACCAAACTGAATCATATGCTATTAAATTTTTAATTTGATAATATTTTTCCAAACTTGTATTATACTGAAACCGAATAAAACCAAATTGAACTAAAAATTCAATAAAACCATAATACTATCGTATATTTTTAAAGAATAACAAACCTTAACTGCAAACCATAAGTTCAAGTCTCAACCCTTTTCAGTCTGAACCAAACTGAAAACAAGAAAACCGGGCTGAATCTGAAAGCTAATCCCTAACTGGAACTGCATAATTTCTAAAAAATATTTAAATAAAGAGAAAACTGTCAAATAGGTCTATGTACTTGTACGAAAAAATCAATTGAGTCCTTGTACTTTTTAGTGAATCAATTAGATCCACAAAGTGTTAAAAAGCGATCATATTAGCTATTTTGTAGGTAATTGCCCGGTTTCCTGATTGATGCTTACGTGGATGTCCACCTGTTGTATTTTTTACTGTTTTATACTACCTCCATCCCCCTAAGTTTGGGACAAAGGGGTGTGGTGTGGTTTTTAAGAAAAAGTAGAATTGTGTGGTTGATATTAAAAAATTGATAGTGTGAATATAGTAAGAATGAATTGTAACCACCCAAATATTACCAAATATGGTATGAGACAAACTTAATGGGACGGATAAAAAAGGTAAAACGGGACAAAGTTAGGGGGATGGAGGGAGTATTAATTTTATACTTTTTCTTTTTCTTTTGGATTTTCTCTTTCTCCTTCCTCTCGCAGACACCAACCGTCCTTCCCCCCCTCCCCCTTTCTTACTTTCTTGTTTCTTGTTTCTTTCTATAGTTCTTTATCCTCTCAGTCCGCTTCTTTCTCTGTTGCACATCGCCATCGCCGAACATATATAGAAGGGGATGAGATTGTGTGGGAGGTTGTGGCTATGGCCTATATATGGAGGGTTGGCGACTTGGCGTATGGAAGTAAGAGCGGCAGATCGGTGGTCGTGGCAAGTGGCCTCTTGGGTATTAAGATAGGGGCGACGGAGGTGATAGATATGGAGGTAGCGGCGCCGGGCGGCGGAGGTGATATATATGGAGGTAGCAGCGGAGGTGGTGGGTATATGGAGGTAGGGGTGGTGGAGGTCGGGAGTTGGAGATGGAGGTCGCGAAGCTGGTGGCAACGGAAGTCGAGTAGCAGATGCGGTGGCTATAGAGCCATGTGCGACGGAAATGAAGAGGGTGGTGGAGGCCAGAATATTTCGTCGGCGGAGAAGAAAGAAAATAAAAGAGATGCATAATGGGAGAAGAAAGAAAGGGGCCGGGAGAAAAAAAGGAGAAAAGAAAAATGAAAAGAAATAGATTAAAAAAAATAGAAAATTATAAAATACAATGGCACCTGGACATCTACATAGCCCGTCAACCGGGAAACCGGACAATTACCTGGAAAAGGGCCAATTTGATCATTTTTTATCACTTCGTGGACCTAATTGATTCACTAAAAAGTACGAGGACTTGTTTGACTTTTTCGCATAATTACGTGGACCTATTTGACAGTTTTCCCATAAATAAATCAAAGAGTAATTTATACGGCTCTGGTATGGTCTTATTCTGTAGAATAATTCAAACTTAAGCCTACCCAACAGGCTCATATTCTGCTGAATAGTAGTCCATGGTTACCAAACGGGGGGCTTGATCTTATGCTTTTATTTCTGTACGTTCTACAACGTATTATATAAGTACTTGTGCACATTATTACGTACAGGATATGTTGAGTCCGAGTTTTGACTGGGCCGTCCTCTTTGAGCCGTTTCCTTATGCAAAGCAGTACGGACGACTGGTAAAAATATCACTTTCAGCATTCGATAAAGATGATCTGGGCTACTGGGTTTGTTGCGTCAAGTCCCGTTTCCGGTGGCTTCTGGTCAAGCTGGAGGAACTGCAGGGGTTTGTTGATCCCAACCCCACACAATATTTTGACGCATCATCAGAAGCTGTTGTGTTCTATTGGGGATTACAACCCGGAAGAAATGCTTGGATTGACATAGAAGCACTGGAGGGCGAGATGAAGAAGGCAGTGAAAACCATCTATCAAGGGTCTACCGGACAGATGAAATTGTCTATCGTCAATGCCTCTCAGTTCACTACTAAGAAGTGGGAAGACGTTTCTAAAAATGCAGAGCTCCCACCTATTGTCGCTTGTACTTGAGGCTGTCTATATACATTCTTTGTTACATTTAACAATACATATATAAGTCAGAAAATGGGGCAGAGGAAATACAAAAAAGGATTTACTTGTAAATTGTCACGGAGTATGCGGTGCTGTAATAGCTATACGGCTGGTGTCTTGCTGGGAACCAGTTAACAAATTATGATGAAAAATTCAAAGAGTGGGTTAAACTCCGGGCTGAATCGGATTATCTTTTTTACTATGTTTAATTTTTGCTTGATAAGCCTATTTCGGTCCTTATATGGTTTAAAATTATGTCATTTATTATAGTAGCTTCAACCTGTTTGAACGAAGCTGGTTGATGGTAATGAAATTCCCAGAATTGAAAGACTAAATTTTTTAATTTCATCTTGGGTTGTTGGGTGATATTTGTTTACAGATAATGTCATTATGGAAAAACGCTCAAATATAGTCATATAGATGCTACAATTTGAAGAGTTTTTTCTTTTCGATACACTCAAGAACCTTTATTCGAAATAGAACATTTAAAGCCCAAATCACTAAGACACCAAATGGTTAATCAAACACCACTTAAGGTACTTGATCGTTGTTCTTACTTCTTAGATCTTATGATGATATATACCTAGGACTTGATTAATTAGTACACTAATTAAAAAGGTACTTGTTTATTTGCCTGAATCTTTAGTTTGTGAATGACTATCTTGTGTTCTTGACCATCTTTTCTAGATTATAATTACATTTCTCGTACGTTTTGCTCGATAAATTTGTGTTATGCACAAAGTATATTCAAATTATCAATCTTCCAAAAAGACACAATTAAAAATTAGGGGTTTTTCCTTCAATATTATCAAATTAAACTTAATTTCCCAAAATGTGACCATTTTCTAAAAAAGACAAAAATGCGACTAAGAAGGTCACATATTTGGAAAAAGATGAAGTCACTGTCATTTCTTATGTCACTGCCATATTTTTATGTCACTATTATACTTTTATGTCACTATTCAAATGTCACTGCCGCAACCGCGCCCGTGTAGCTACCGCCGCCACCGGCCGCCACAGGCTACAATGACACAGTGAAACCGTCACAGTTACACCGTCATAGTGACATTGCTTCAGTGAAGCCGCCGTAGTGACTTAAGTCCCAGCCCCAACCCCAGCCTTGTCCCACCACCAGCCCACTCCCCCAGCTCAGGCTCTCAGGCCACAACGTCGCCCCCTACTCCCCTGCTCCCCGGTCCTGCCCCTGTCCCCCAGGCCCTTCTCCGTCCAGTTCGCAAAAACCTTAGCCACCGCACCACCATGGACGGAACCTTTGTCACACACCACCAGCAGCGACAACCCTAAATTGAACTCATCGTCCATGGAGGATGGCGAATCCGACACTGACGACCCCAAATTGGAGTTGTCACCCATTGAAGAAGATGAATCTGGAGGTATCCCAATCTGCTACCAAGCTTCAATCGATGACACCGACGGTCGTTCGACTCCCATCCGCCTCCCCATTGTCTGAACACATAGAGAAGAAATTGAAATTCGGATCGGGGTAGGCGAGGTCGACGATGGGGACGGGGGCGAGGGAGACAGTTGTGGTGGTCAAAGATGGCACCGGCTATGGTGGTTGGAGATTGCGATGAAGTCGGCGGCGTGGATGAGGTTGTGCAATGGGGTCAACAGTCTGAGGAGAGCAGCAGAGTAGCGTGAAATGAAAGTGAGGTTGACCAGAGTTACGACTTACGAGTATCTGACTTATTTTTATTTAAATGAGGTCACTTTTTTGTCTAAATGTAAAATGGTCATATTTTTGTCCATGTAAACTCCATAGGTAATATTCATGTCATTGTTTCTAAAAATTAAGGATAAACACAAAACTTTGTAGAGCTTCACTTTCATTTGAACACAACCCAATCTATGACTTGATAGCCCCTTAAATACCCAACTCATTAAGCAGCAAGGGCTGCAAGGCTATGTTCGACACTCGTAGCTAGAGTTGGAGAAATGTTAGAATTAAAGTTGCTATATGAATTAGATGCTATTGTCTAGAACTAGATTTTGAAGTGTTGGATCAGAAACGCCAACTGAATGAAATAGATTGGATTTGAAATAACAATTCAAAAATGTCGAAAATATGAAATTACTTTAAATGTTTATAATAATCTATATATCTTATCTATATAGGAATACAATAGTCTAATTGAAATACCATTTTGCCTATGAAAAGTGCTACGTGTAGATTTTTCTATGTTTCACTCCAATGCTCTATTTATGTCATGTGACTTCATATTTTGAAAAATAATCACAAAGAACGCGGTGTCATAAAAAGAGAAAAAGTAGGGATTGATAGGAGGCATACACAGAAATAAAAGAACATAGAAATATATTCCTCTTGGCCAATTCCTTTCTTATAAGAAGTATATAGTACTCCCCCGTAACATTCATATCTTCACACTTTCTTTTTTCGTCCGTTACATTCATATCTTCTCATTTCTAATTCTTCTTATCAGACCCTCAATAATTTTGAAAATAATACACTATTACATTTTTTTTGGATTTATCCTTCATTCCAGCAATCCAGAGCACACTATTTCATTATCTTCCATCATACTCTCAATAATTTATATTCTCTTTCATTATTCTTAAACTCATATACTTTTAAAAGGGAAGATATAAATGTTAGAAGTATAGAATAGTACTCCCTCCGTCCCCCTAATTTTGTTCCATTTTACCTTTTTCGTCCGTCACATTTTGTTTGTCTCATACTTTATTTGGTAAAATTTGGGTGACTACAATTCATTCTTACTTTATTCACACTTTATCAATTCAATAACAACCACACAATTCCACTTTTTCTTAAAAGTTATGTCACTCCTCTTTGTCCTAAACATAGTGGGACGGAGCTAGTATTATATAACACGTATATTACTACCTCCGTCCCGCTATGATTGTCCCGTTTTATCTTATTAATCCGTCCCACTAAGATTGTCTCATATCAAATTTGGAAAAGTTTGTGTGGCTCTAAATCATTCTTATTTTATTTTATTTTATCAATTTAATATCAACCACATAAACTACTTTTTATTAATTTGCGAGTCACTTCCTCTTGTCCCATTGTTAGCGGGACGGAGGGAGGGAGTATTAATTATCAAGCAAAAACACAACTTTCCACTGAATGCGGTGTCAGCCTAGATTTTGGAACCACTCTTAAAAAATGGTCAATCAGTGATCAATCACATAATCGGGCCAAAATACATACGTACACGCCACTAGTTTTATCCACTATTTCTTACGAGTCCTAGACCATTGATCACATGAGTTGGGGAGTTTGTCCACACATAAGACGGTTAAGACCCTTAATTTCAATTACTTAAATTGATAGAAAATGTGCAAATATACTGTTAAGTTGTAGGGGTGGGCATAAAACCAGAACCGAACCGGTACTGAATTGTCCCGTAATGGTACCCAACCGAATACCGGATATTTAAACGGTTCTATAGATTTTTATCCCGTACCGAAATCGTACCGTTTGAAACGGGTACGGGACCGGTCCTAGATTTTGAGAACCAAAGAATACCGGACCGAACCGTTCGTAAATAATGCATTTGAATTTTTTATATTTTTCTATATCAATAGATCTAGACCAACAATTTTATACCCCAAGTATGTATTCATGTGTCCCTAAGATATCTAAAATGTGTTATATATATATATATATATATATATATATATATATATTGTTAGTTTTTCTTTTTATATAATTTATGTTATATTTTAGTATGTATTGAAACAATATTAAAATTTCAGAAATCATTAATGATTATTTATTTCTAGTAATGTAGTGTACATGAATTTTTGTTGTATCATATTTGTGCATTTTTACAACTTAATTAATATGATTTAAATCTTAGCTCTCAAGGTTCAACTATAAATTAAATTAGAACTACGGAGTAATATTTAACCTAGAACGAAGAAGAACGTTGAAGATTTCTATTATATTAAACAATTTGATGATATTCGTTTTTATATTTTCACATGAACTTAGTAAATTAAAAATGATATTTATCTCATGCGTCATCGTTTTGCTATACTTTTTCTTAGTTGTGTTGGACTATTTGTGTATTTGTCAATTGTAGTACTAGGTATGCAATTTCTTGTATTTATTTCAACATGCCATGTGAGTTGGTTGGTGTGATGATATCTACTAATTACAAGATTTGTTCAAAAGTTTTAGCATGCGTTTGACATTGTACCGTACCGTTTTGTACCATTCCGAAACGACATGGTACCGAACGGTTCTATCCCTGGAACCGGACCGTACAGGACCGTTAAAAACCTCACGAATACATTACGTGTTTTACCAATTTACCGGACCGTTCCGACCATGCCCACCCCTATTAAGTTGTACGCGCGGGTGCTTATTTGTCATTAAAGTTTTACAAAAGTGCAATAATACATCTAATGTTCCTACACCTGAGATGTATGTGGACACCTACTCATATCCTTCAATGATATAGAGGGTGTTTGGAACTGCTTCTGCTTCTTTTTTAAAGCAGAATCACAATCAGAATCATTTTTCAAAAGCTGGCCTCCTCCAGTTACTAAAAAACTGATTCTATGAGTATATTATGGCATCAGAAGTACTTTTGCACTTCCATCCAAACACTCCAACTTCTGCTTCTGCTTCCAGAAAGAGCAGAAACAGTTTTAAGAATCACATCCAAACACTCCATGTTTGATTCATTTTAATATGATCTCAAACCATTTGTGAACTTATTAGTTCGGCAGGAACACCAAACCACCACAAAACTCCCGTACCAGGAGCCACCTATAAATGTGCTCAATTATACTCCATAGAATATAATCGGATTCACAACCGAATAAGAGTATATCTGAACTCTCTTGCTTGCAAGCTGGCCGGTACAAAAGATGAAAAATAAAATGAGAATAAGACATGTGGTTCGGCTAGTTGTTCTGGCAGCCTTAGTAGTCTTATTTGAATCAAGTGCGGCGGCGCCGGCGGCAAATGACGGTGCTGGTCTCATCGGAACCACTTGCAAAAACACGCCAAACTATAAACTCTGCTTCAATACCCTGTCCTCCGACCCTAAAGCGTCCAAAGGGGACCTCACTACCCTGGCGCTAATCATGGTGGATGCCGTCAAATCCAAGGCCAATCAAACAGCCGCCGTGATCTCCGGCCTCCAACCCGGGCGCAGTAAGCCGGCGGCGGCGGCGTTGAAAGAGTGCGATTTTCAGTACAAGGTCATTCTCACCACCAGTGTTCCGGAAGCAGTCGAAGCTTTAACCAAAGGGGATCCGAAGTTTGCCGAGGACGGCGTGGTAGGCTCGGCTAGCTGCGCCGCCGCGTGCGAGTCGGCTTTCACAAGTGCCGGAAAATCGCCGCTAACCGATCTTAACAAGGCTGTGCAGGACCTATCCGACGTCGCTAGAGCAATCATTAGAAATTTGTTGTGATTTTATTGCTCCCCGTCCTCATTTGATACTCATCATGCCCATAAAACTTGGTCAATATTGACTTATACGTAGATTAATAAAGTAAAAAATATGTGATTTATATTTGTCTAAAGGAGGGAGAAATAAATTTAACCACATATTTGTTATTTTAAATGTAAATGATAAAGTTTTTTTGGACGTCCAAAAAAAAATTTGACCAAGTTTTATGGGAGCGGAGGTAGTATTTTTAATTTGATATTGTGATTCCGATTTACTAGGTTTGATCCAAGATAAAAGAAATGGATTCATGTCCACGCTCAAACCATTTTTAATAAATACTCTTTCCGTCCTGCTAACAATGAGACAAGAAGGAGTGACACGCAAATTAATAAAAAATGATTTATGTGATTGATATTGAATTGATAAAGTAAAAATAAAGTAAGAATGATTTACGTATTGAAAAAATACATTAAATGTTTTACAAAATAACAAAATAAAAAATCAAATTTGACAATAGTTTGATATACTATCATAAAGTAAGAGATTAAAAGTGATTTATGTTGACCAAGTGAAAAATAAAAAACATGATCATCAAACTTGGACAAAAGTAGCTTAATAAAACTAGTGTGTGTATACGTGAATACACAATAAAATAAAATATGTTAGCAATTTTTTTCTTCAAGTTGTAAGACATGAGTTGTATGTGAATTCGTCAAAGTGTTTAAAAAACAATTAGACAATGGATAGAGCTGCCAAAATTAGTCAAAGTCCACAAGGTTTGTCTATTTCATCTCATTCTGTAAAATATGGACCCACAACATTTTTTTTTGTAATTTAAAGCTTATAATAAGATCTTATATACTTCTAGCTATATTAAAATAAAATAAGTAGTCTGAAATAATATGCAATTTAAATGAATAATGTGGGAGCTATAACGAGGATAATTATAACTCTAGCTGAAAAGTATACTCCATATAAAATAGTCTCATTATATAGTCTAATAGTTTTTTATGGACTATAGTGGACTGATTTCAGTCCCAGTCTCGGATCCCATCAGACCAAATCATACCATTTTGGTTCTCGAACTATTAAATCTATCATTTTAGTCCTTAATCTATTTCATCTATATTAATCGAGTCCCTCCGTTAAATTTGTCGTTAACTTTGACAGAAGGTAATTAACTTATTAACATACATCTCATAATTTTAAACATTTTGGAACAATACAATCATTCTAGTTTTTTTTAAATATACATATATGGTTCTTGAACTATCATGACCATATCATTTTGGTACTCGAACTATTAAATCTATCATTTTAGTCCTTAATTTATTTCATCTATATTAATCGAGTCTTTACGTTAAATTTGTTGTTAACTTTGACAGAAGCTAATTAATTTATTAACATCTCATAATTTTAAACATTTTGGAACAATACAATCATTCTAGTTTTTTTAAATATACATATATATATATGGTCCTTGAACTATCATGACCATATCATTTTGATCCTCGAACTATTAAATCTATCATTTAGTCCTTAATCTATTTCATCTATATTAATTGAGTCCTTAAGTTAAATTTGTCGTTAACTTTGACAGAAGCTAATTAGTTTATTAACATCTCATAATTTTAAACATTTTGGAACAATACAATCATTCTAGTTTTTTTTAAATATACATATATGTACACATACACATATAAAAATTATAAATAAATAATATAAAATCAAATGTACGGCCTAAATAATACGTAGTATATGAGAAAGAATCAAATAATCAATTACAAACATATGAGCAGATAAAATTAAATAAGAAAACGAGGGTGATTGTTATTATAATTAATTATATTAAGAAAAAAATTAAAACTAGGTATGAGTAAAACTCATCCACTTTCTCAATACATGACCTCATTAGCCCCCCCCCCCCCCCCCCCCCCCCCCCCCCCAAAAAAAAAAAACAATACTCCGTATTCAAATTTGTAATATTTAATAAAATAAATAAATAAATAAATTTTATGGACTGATTTGCCGTAGCTTCACCAGACCTCTCTTGTTTCTCTTGGGTCTCGGGGAGTGTTTTGCCGATGAGGTTGCAGTTTGACCTTCCTTGCCTTTCCCATTTATTTAAATAATTAAATAAATAATGTAAAATCAAGTGTATGACTTAAATAATATACGTCTTACGTCCCACTAAGATTGTCTCATCTTTTCTTTTCGATCAGTCCGACTATGATTATTCATACCAAATTTGGTAAAATTTGTGTAGTTCTATATTTTTTTTTGGATAAAATGTAAATATATATATCCAGAAAAGTAGCGATTGGCGGTGCCGGAAAGTAAATATAAATAAAATTTATTTATTTATTTATTTTGATCGTCAACTAACTTTCTTTCATATCATAAGTTTCAAGATCATTACATCAATCAAAGGAAAAACAAAACTGACACCAACTAAAATCCAACAACTACGACTCTAAACCCTATGATCAGACTTAGAGACGGTCACCCTTGAAAGAGCAACGCGAATCGCTAACCATGTAGCGGGCTTGACACAGCCATCCCTATTCCCACAGATCCAAACATACTCAATGACATAAAAAAAGGCTGAATTCCCAAACAAACTAACAAACCTAACAACATAGACGATAACAAGAAGCCAAATGATAGAATAAAAATAACTAATAGGAAAACTTCCACGGACTCTAGCACCTCGTACAACCCATGTTGGTGGTTCAGGAGGAGGCCGTATCCTTGGTACCACTCTAATTGATCATCCATTGTGAATCGTCATGTGGCATGCTCGAAATCCGTGCACATCTCCTCATCCTGCGCTC